GGAGAATAGATATGGGGTAGGGGATAGGAGAAATTTGAGGGGATATGAGAGAGAAAAATAATACAAAGCTTATTTTATGGCTTAAGGGTAAGAGGTGACCATAAATAGATATTTGACTATAAAAATTCAAAAGGTAGCTATGAAATATAATTTTTTAAAAGGGTATTTATTTAAAATAAATAAGGTATCAACCTTTGCGAGGTAACTAATCCAATTTTTTTACTTTTAACTCTTCTTCCTATTACCATGGGCCTCATACCCACAGAATCTAGTTAAAATATCATGGTATAGCCAGTTTTCACACTGGTCAATGAAAAATAGCCAGCGTTTATCAAGTCAATGAAAAATAGCCACTATTTTGCTGCAACAGGGACCGGTCCAGTATAATATACGGGAGTTCTGGTGCATTTGTGTACGAACTCCAGCATATTATGCTGGACCGGTATACTTTGCTAACTCCTGTAAAATTTGCGGGAGACTGGAACACCAGTGCTCCAAACTCCAGTATATTATACTGGACAATTATACTTGCTGGAACTCCCGTAAAATTTGCGGGAGTTCCAGCATAATTATGCTTGAACTCCCGTAAAATATTATGCTGGAACTCCCGCAAAATTTGCGGGAGTTCCAGCATAGTTATCCTGGAACTCCCGTAAAATTTACGGGAGTTCAAGCATACTTATGCTGGAACTCCCGTAAAATTTGCGGGCGTATTTTTCCGAATTTTGAACAGTGTTTTCGCTCAGATTTAAAGTGGCTAAATTTCGATGACTTTTGAAACTTGGCTATTTTTCAACGACCAGTGGTAAATCTGGCTATTTTTGAATTTCTCCCCAGAATCTAACAAGCTATTTGTGTAACAATCCAACAGAAAAGATATTCAGTTAACTAGGCTGTAACAGATTTCCAGCCCCACTTCAATGGGGGCCCAACAAAAACATCTCCACATGCAAACACGCTCCTCTTTTTTCTTACAAAAAGCAAAAAAGAACTCTCTGGAACTCTCTATTCAGCGCCACTCTCCCCCAACAAAACAAAAGAAAAAAAAAAGTTTACCTATCAAAAGCTCATCAATACCGTGAAAAGCCATCTATACTGTGAAAAGCCATTGATAGAGCTCACAGAAACGCTTGATAGTCTCCCGGTAAATTCCTTATTTCTTTTCTCCTTTTTTCACCCATCATTTCAATGTATTAAAACCCTATGTTTTGTATCAACCAGTTTCTTTCAAATATTTTCCTCTTTCTTCAAACGTGGTTTATGCATTTCTTTTTTAATAATATGAAAGATGTGATTTTGAACTTTTTTTTTTGAATTATCAGGAGAGAACTATGTCGAGGGTTTACGTTGGTAATTTGGATCCTCGGGTAACTGAGAGAGACCTTGAGGATGAGTTTCGTATCTACGGCGTTCTTCGAAGGTAAATTTTTCCTATGTATTTTTAGATGGAATTAGGTTTTAAAGTTCCTCGTTCAATTATCAGTTCATCTTTCGTTGGATGGTCCAAGTCGTATTTTTCGGGAAAAAATGAAGGCTCTTTTGGGATAAATTAGTTTTTGTAGTTATTATAAGCTCATGTTTTATTGTTTTTCTTGTTTGTTTAAATAACGATGGTGCCTGGGCGGACCAGCATGCGCGCACCTCCGCTATTTCACCAAAGTTTGACACATGGGGAGAAATCACCTGACTTCTTTGCCTCTGTTGACAATCGAACTTTGGTCTCTCATGGTCTTCATTTCAGCTTCATCGACCCCTAGGCCACATTCTTGGTATTGTTTTCTCGTGTTTCTCTTTCTTTTGAATTAGCTCAAAAACGAAATTCAATTCAAGATATTCTCAACACACAAAAAATAATAATAATAATAATAAAAATTTTACCTTCATGAAAATGAGATTGGGTTTAGAAATTGGAGTGGAACTTGAAATCTGAAGTATCTTGAGAGGATGAGAGAGGTTGCTCTAGTAGTAGAGATTGCTGCCTTACACCATTAGGTGGGGTTCGAGTCACCACTGGGGGACCGGTAAACCTCACTTTTGCCTTGGGGTTGTGGGGGGAGGTGAAAATGAGGAGTTGTTAAATTGAAAAAGGACATCTCAAAGGATCGTATTTGTTACTCACTTTGTTCCATTTTATGTGGCAATATGACCATTTGGGAAGTCAAAGCAGGAGCGGATCTAGTAAGGGCCGAGGGGGTGGTACGCCGCCCGCAACCTTCGGTAGAAACTCTGTATATATATATGTATATATATGTAAGAAACCGTATATATATTGAAAGCGCCACCCATAGCACCAAATGATACAAAGGTGCCAGTGCCAAAGAGCAGGAGATTCCACCTTTTGGCTTGCTACATCACGTTGAACTTTCTATCATTCTATACATGTCATTCTCTTTTTTCTTCTACTGTAATTATTGTTAAATATCATACTTTATTTGTTAACTTTCGACTTTCTTTTTGTGTCTCTTATTAGTTAAGTATTTGATTTTTTGCACAAAGTTAAAATACTATTTTCTTTTGCAAATCTTCGCTCTATCATAACTACAGTACCATATTTTTTCCGTACAATCGATTTATATTATATACCAAAAAGACAAGTAACTCGAATCGAAGTCCAAAGTTGCTCAAACTGACAAATATTTACTATATCTCAATGTATAAATAGTGACACATGGACGTTCAAAGCTACGTGGCACCCGGAAGTTCCAAATCCTGGATTCGCCTCTGAGTCAAAGAGATTCTTCTTTGACCATCATTGTTCAAGTACTTTTTAAGAATGTTATGAATTATTAACTATTGTGACTTATTGCAATTTTTATGTAATTTCCAAATATGTGAAGTTTATTTCAAAAAACTTGAAGGATTTATGTCTGACTTCACACCGAAAATTAAGTACTTTGACCCTTGTGGCCTGGACCCGCCACATAAAATGGAATGGAGGATGTATGTTTTAGGTATATAAATAAGTCGAGTGTTAAGTGGAGCACCTCAATTAGTTTCAATATTTGCGAAGCTTTATTTGGCTGGTGAATTTTTTCTCATACTACTTCGATTATGTTTTGTTGTCTCTTGTACTGCTGTAAATGTCCTATGTATGGATTACACATTGTGTGAAGATGTTGTCAGAACTCGCAGAAGTTAAACAACTTAAGATGATGAGCTCCACCTCCCTGAAGGAACAAATCTCAAAACAGAAGCTAGTGGCTTCAGCAGTCTGCATTGGTTCTTTGGTAGTCCATGAATGACTACTTGGACTAGGTGGTGTTAAAAAGGTCTTTTACCCTATTGAACTTATCATAAAAAAAGAAGCTCTTTTACCCTAATGAGATGCATGTAGTTTATACCTATCTGACTTTATGAAAATAGCTTATACTGTCTGATGAACAAGCCTATGACTATACAACCTAATGTGTTGCAATAGCTACTGCATTTTCTATCATTGTTTTTACATCCCTTTGTTTTGAGCTACTTCCTATTGCCTAAAGTTTCATAGTATATCTTGTTTTCTTCTCATATTCCATAAGACCGATGACAAAGATTGCATTTTTGGGCCTCTTTGTTGTCTGTTTCGGGCCTCTTTATATGTCTGTCATTTTGGGTATGATAATTGTTTTGCACATAATTAAAGTGTTATTAATTTATTGCAGTGTTTGGGTTGCAAGACGACCGCCAGGTTATGCATTCATTGAGTTCGACGATCGCAGGGATGCTCTAGATGCTATTCGCGAGCTAGATGGTATGAACCGAGTGTTGTGCACCATACATCAATAGCTAGCTGAGTATGGTGATTGTAGTTGACCCTTATTCAGTAATAATAACATGCAAGTTCAGGTTATCAGTATAACCTTCCATTTTGGTTCTTATCTTTTCTATGAGAAGACTGTAGCATGCCCCTTTATGGTCCACAACTGATATCTTATGTTGAACTTAGTTTAACCAGGCTTTCCTTCAAGTAATGATATGGTTAGTGTAGTTTAAAACATGTAGATCTTGCTAATTATCACCAGTTTCATTCTGTCTAGTGCATGTTTTCGTATAACTATTCATTTTTGTTTTCGGCGTACCTCGCACTTCTGGACTTTTCCTCTGTGTTGTAATTCTTGCCTGCCTTCTAAGTTGTGTGTCTTCTCGTAATAATCTCTTAAGAAACGTTCAATAGAATAGATAGTGATCATACATATAACTACTGCTGAACATTCAGATGTAATATTACTTGAGTGTGTTGTAGCTTTGTTCACAATTTGTGATACTTCCTGAAAAAAAATGTGATACTAATCTGAAAAAGAAGTCCAGTGGAACAGAATCTGCTGACATTTCAGTTTTAATAATAGATGAGGGTGATACAGGTTCATTCAGAAAACTTCTTGCCTGTAAGACTTTATTTTTATCTCATCTTCGATAGTAACTGTGCTACATCCATCCCTGGTGAACCTTTGGGGAAATCTGTAAAACAGGGAAAAATGGTTGGCGTGTGGAGCTCTCACACAATTCAAGCGGTCGTGGTGGAGGCCGTGGTGGTCGTGGAGGTGATGATACGAAATGTTACGAATGTGGTGAGCCAGGTCATTTTGCTCGAGAGTGCCGCTTGCGCATTGGTTCACGAGGACTTGGAAGTGGGCGACGTCGAAGTCCTAGTCCTCGATATCGTAGAAGTCCCAGTTATGGGAGAAGGTTTCTCTCTCTCTCTTTCTTTGATTTTAATCAAATGGGGCTTATCTCCTAGTTTATGTGCAATGTACTGATGCACATTATTCAATGAACTCACATTGCGGAGCTTCTTGAACTCTAGTTTTATGCTACTTGACTGTGAAGAAGAAAATATTTCATTTGTCATAGAACCTTGTCAGAGCCATGCAAGTTAGGGTGATGTTACACTACAAAATAATGCCTACATAATCATCCTTCTGGTGGGTTCTTTTGTCTCGATGGCAGATATAACATCGCAGCTATGTCAGTGTTTTCACTTGGTATATGACGTAAGAAATATATGTGAACACTTGGCTGTTTATAACCTTCTTTTTCTTTTTCCTCTTTGCAAATTAGGCCACTCTTTAATTTGCTTTTTGTACATTCTATTCATTACCTAAATGGTAACACATAGAGGTCCGAGGAGAGTGGATTTGTCTACTTCCTGGTCACCAGCTTAAGCCAGTTGCATTATTCATATGCATGCGTATATATCCTATATATCATGGTTCTCGATGGTCGTGTCGTTGCAGCTACAGAGATATTGTTTTGGATATATACAATTTTAGTTTTTCCTGAGTATTGCTGTTGTCTTTTACTTTGGTTATCTTTACTATTTTTGTTGTCAATACTTTTCTTTTCTTCAGTATTTTCATCTTAGCTTTTTTACTCTTGTACTTTCCAAACCTGTTTGGAAAACCCTTTTCTTGAGCCAAGGCTCTATTTGAAACAACCTTTCTACCTCACACAAGGTAGGGGTAGGGTAGGGTCTGCATACACCCCACCCTCCCCCGACCTCACTTGTGGGATCACATTAGGTATGTTGTTATTTAGTTTTTCTTGAGTACTTCTATCAGTTGGGCTTCATAATATCAAAAGGTGGTGCTTCATCATCTTAGTTGATGGCCTATAACTTGGGTGGCAGTGACAAGTTCTATTTTAGTACTGTTTTACTTCTGAATATAATAAGTCACTTGGTTTTGAATTCAGAGTAGAGTTCTTGTCCATATAACAATTTTCTTCGAAATTTTGCATTTTGAGGAACACAGTGATGTGGCTTTGCAGGAGTTATAGCCCTCATGGAAAATCTCCTCGAGGTCGTAGCCTATCTCCTCGTCGTGGACGCAGCTACAGCAGGTCACCCCCCAATCGCCGGGGCCGCTATGTGTCACCTTACGCCGACGGGTAAGTAATTGATGAACATATTTACGGCATACGCATTTACTGGGGCAATTCTTGAGTGTCGCCTTAAAACTGAGTCTGAAACAATCTTTAGGTAGAAGTCTAAACAATCTTTAGGTGGAAATTTTCTATAAAACTTTCCAAGGCCTCCATGTTAATTTTGTGGATTTGGAATTGGATGAGAGCATTAGATTTGCTGCTTTTCTCTGGGAGCCCCTGCAGCAACAGACCCTTATTGACTATCTTTTACTTGAACAGTTTATCACCTCGTCGTGGCCGTGGAAGCAATAGCAGATCCCCAGCATATCGTCGTCATCGTGATTCTCCTTATGCAAACGGGTATGTTTGTTCTGCTGCCTCCTAGTGGTTTCATCATTAAGCTAGCTTTTTCTCCCATTACTGCCTATCAAAGCAGAGTTGAGTATCTTTTTACTTTTTTGGGTGGGCATTAGGGCTTCGAATAAAGCACATTAAGAAATAATATTATTCTACTTTGTGCTTATCAATTTCGCATGAGCAATGCTTCCTTGTATTGTTAAAGTTATCAACTTTTATTTTGCAATTTCTTTGCACAATACTCATACGGGCACTTGGAATTGATGTTTCGTGCAGAGCTTGATGGTCTGAGCGGGAAATACAACTGAGGCTCTTCATTTGTAGTCTGATAGGCTTGTCAAAAGAGTAGCATTATGTAGTTTGTTTCTGTGATAAATGGTGTGTTCGAACTGGATTATGGGAGGCTTCTGCTCTCTATAGCTACCTCCGACTTCATTCTTGTGACGGCTTTCCTCAGTTCAGCAAACTTTGGAGGTCTCTCTTATACTTCATTACTGTTTAATGTGTGCTCTCTTAATTGCTATGACTATTATCATAAAGCCACTTTTTCGTAAAATATCTAGGTTTTCTTCTTTGAGGTATGATATCCAGCTGAGACTGCATCATTTCACCACATGCTTCTTTTGTTGACATCGTTTAGCACCACTGCTTCTCTACATCAAATCATCATCTTGTATGAGTTTTTTCCTACCGAAAACTGCAAAATGGCCAAGCGGGTCCTTCTGCAACAAAGCTTTTTTAGGTAGGTAAAGTTTTTTGCTTTTCTGTGCGCCGGGGGACAATGTTAGCTGTCTGCTGCCTTAAATCTTCATTTGCCAGCTTAAGCTGCTCCATGGTCAACAAAGTTTCTATTTCTCATCTGCTTCTCTTCCCACTGGTAGACTACAAAAGGTTGCTGCACTTCAATTTTCGTTTTCCAGCTTGGCCTGTATTCTTCTTCGTTAATCAGATAGTGTGGCAACACATTTCTCCTGGAGGAAATTCATTACCTTCATTAATGGAACTTCCATGTGGTGGCTCGGAGAAGGAAAGTTACCTTTGTTTCTTGACTACCGTGTTTGTAGTCAAGAAACGTGGCTGCAGGGCATGTACATACATCTTCGATATGTCATGTTATTAACCTGGCCTTGACATGTAGTTGGACCTTTAATACCGCGTTATAAATTCGATGTTGCATATGCAAATGTCAAGGTTGTAACTCCTTGCATTTGACTAGTCACTTGGGGATTGAATTTTCTTAACCAGGCTGGTGGCATGAATCCCACGCTATACTTGAAGATTCCTGAAAGAGCAGTTGAGATGGTTCTTGTACATAAGAAAAAGTTGATCAGAGAGCACCCACTTAATATGTAGGGGAAACAACCTTTTTTGTCTTTGTATTATTGCTTTATTAAAATTTTCAATTTTAAGCCTTATGTTTGACAAAACAAGTTCGACCTTCTATTAACAAGATTAACGGAGCTAAGGTTACTCTAGGACAACTTTGGTTTTCTACGCCAGCTCAGTAATCTCCTCCTCTAACCTTCGCCTCATACCTTCAGCTTTGTACTTGGATTCTTCCACTTTGGTTGGTCAACTGATACGTTGATATCGCCGTTCACATGAGATAAAGAATGGGGTTGGGGAGCACCGACAAGATTTAGGTTAGAGGACTTCTAGTCTCCATTCTTTCATTATTATCTGCTGCTTCGCAATTAATTGAGCAGAGACGCTGATGGAAATGTGAAATTCTTTCATTATTATCTGCTGCTTCGCAATTAATTGAGCAGAGACACTGATGGAAATGTGAAGTTATATCGGATGATTTACGCGTTCTCGTTCATTTACTTTTGCTATGACATGCATCAAATAGTCTTCTTGAAATTCCACGATAGGGAAGTACCAGAGGAAGCAACACCAGAAGTCCTAATCGAAGAAATAAATTGCCAGAAATTGATTGATAGTTTTAACTTTTTGTTCTCCTTTCTTGACTGTCAAATGAGAACTTATTTACCAAATTGAATATGTTTTCCCAGAAGTCTAGACAAAATGACGTGACAGTGGAGGTGGACAAATATTATGGAACCTATGCTTATCATGGGGGAGACCGAATTGCGCATTCAATTCAATTGAAGGTCAACCATGCGGGCCCATATGTCATAGTATGGCCGCAAGTAGGAGTAAAAATTTTGTGGGGTAGCCACTATTTAAAGTGGTATTTACTTTTTATCCACCATTTTTAATGCTGAGCAAAACTAGCACTAGTCTATTAAAATTAATATGAAAAGACTGAGTTACCCTTTCTTCCATTGCTTTTCTTCCCAAACGCTTCTCTCCCTCTCAGTTCGATGCATGCCTGTGTTCATAGATAAGCCTTGTAACTTTGAAAATCACCTGCCTACTTGCAATGGCGATTTCTAATTCAACAAGGTCAACATCATTATATTAGTGTTAAATTTCCTGAAGTATACGCCATTCTTCTTGCCAGTAGAATCATCTTCATCATCGACAGTAGTGTAAAAATGTTAAGTATATATTCTGATGCATTGAATTTGGACTCCGAAGTTCTGTATTTGTTTTACACGATTAATCCCTTTTATTTAATGTATTTTTTTGGGTTTAAATCACGTTTTATAAAAAGAACAAGAAAAAAAAGCAATCGCGAGAAGATCAACCGATGTACTTTTACTTGAATTCTTCGGAGAACGCATTGAATGAGTTCGAAAACGTAAAGTTGAAAAAGCATCGAAACGTAACTAAATATAATATAATTTTAATTTTATTACACGATTGTACGCTATTATCCTTATTGTGTGTTTGCATTTAATTTATTTTGTGTTAAAATAAATTAAAAGTTAAGGACAATAGGTCCTGAACTTAGGCTAAGAAGCCCAAAAGTTAAGGACAGACAGTCCTTAACTTACAGTTACAAGTTCAAATGTTAAGAACAATAGGTCCCTAACTTTGATTTCCAAGTTCAAAAGTTAAGGACAATAGGTCCTTAACTTTGATTACCAAGTTCAAAAGTTAAGGAAAGACAGTCTTTAACTTACAGTTACACATTCAAAAGTTAAGGACAGACAGTCCTTAACTTACAGTTACACGTTCAAAAGTTAAGGACAATAGGTCCTTAACTTTGACTTACAAGTTCAAAAGTTAAGGACGCTTGGTCTTGAAGTTTGAGCTCCAAGTTCAAAAGTTAAGGACATGTAAGCTTAAAGTCCTGAACTTAGAGTTCCAAGTTCAAAAGTTAAGGACATGTAGTCCTGAAGTCCTGAACTTAGAGTTACAGGTTAAAAAGTTAAGGACATGTAGTCTTGAAGTCCTGAACTTAGAGTTTCAAGTTCAAAAGTTAAGGATATGTAGTCCTGAAGTCCTGAAGTTAAGGACATGAGCATAAGGGTATTTTCGTCCGGCAGTTAAAGTTTATTAAACCAGTGGCTAAAGACTAAAGACATTTAAAACACTGGCTTTAAAATAAAGACATGAGCTGTTAGTGGCTATTTGTGCACATCGCCCTAAGTAGGAGCGACAAACGGGCAGGTTGGGTCGGATATGGTTCGGGTCGAAAACGTGTAATGAAAAAAATAGATAAATTATCCGCCCCGACCCATATTTAATACGGACAAAAAAGGGTTAACTGGCGGATAATATGGGTAACCGTATTAGCCATGACTTCTTGCATATGATCACTTTTGGGAGAATTCTTAGTCTCCTTAATTTGAGGAACCCCCAAGTTGAGGCTTTAATTTACAAATGTAAAAGTTAGACCAATTAGTTATCCATTTTCTAAATGGATAATATGGTTCTTATCCATATTTGACCCGTTTTTAAGAAGTTTATTATCCAACTCATTTTTTAGTGGATAATATGGTTGGTTAATTGTTTCTTTTAACTATTTTTCCACCCCTAGCTGCTAGTGGTTGAAGAGCTGTTTGAGCATGATTTCGGCGAAGTGTTCAAGTCAAGGACTTTAGCTAACTAGAATAAAGTAATAACACTGAGGACAAAAGATGTTACTGTGTAACTTCAGGATTTTCTTGTTAAGAGTTGCTTAATATATATAGTTCATAGAAACCAGAAAGTAATTTAACCAGAATATATGGCAATTTAATCATTCTCTATACTCCACCATCTTGCTAGAAGCTGAAACCAGAACCCGATGTCACAAACTGCAGATTTCAAGCCATAACTCTATGATTATATGAGGCCTTTTCGCGAATTCATCTTGATTATCTTGATGAGTGTAATGTATCTTAATATCAGATCCCATGCAATATACATTGTTATCAGAACTATAGCATACCTGAAACAAAATATATATTTATTTATGGTTTGAGTAACATATACCAGTAATTCATAGGAAGAACCATTTTTTTTCTCTCGTTAAAATATACCATAGTTTAAAAAACTTAGTTACGTACCGTCAAGGTAGGAAATATATGTTATCTACTTAGGGTGAGATGCACAATATCTATCTATCTATCTATGTATTTATCTATCTATCTATATCTATACTATATTAAAAGCACGAAGGCCCTTAGCGAAATGTCGTTCGCCTTTTTTACCCTTTAAAAATATATTTTACATCGGATAAAATTGTAAAATCAAAAATCAACATCTTATTTTTCATGTTATATTCTTCAATCCACTGAATTAGCACATAGATAAGCTTAACAACAACATCCACAAACATAATAAAATTATTTATAATAATTTTCAGCCACAACAAACTATATATATTTTTCACTCAAACAACTCAACCAACACATGATTGACCTTAAGCACAACCAAGAACATGATTTAATAACCTTAGTCAGTAGATACAACTTGAAATCCCCAGCTGGTGTAGCTCACAACAACCCTCAATCACACCACAACACTATAGGAGTTGTATTCTCTTCTTGAATCAACTTTTGTGTTTATGTTGGTGTGTAAACACTTGTATTTCGCCTTGAAACTCTAATATACATGAAGGAGGTACTGATTCTTAGCATAATAATATAGAGCAACACGAAATTTGAGGTTATTTACCTTGGAAGAACCCTCCAAAACAGCCACAAGATGAAGAACTACGATCTAGCAAGCACCACCGGATTTCTAGCGTTGGATTCATGTTTTTATCTTAGGTTTTCACCCTAGAATCATGGAGGAACCCTTGGAGAGAATTTAGGAGGGTTTAGGAACTGTTTTGGACGAGAAAAATGAGTTAAAACGACCTATAAATGACTTAAATACAAGCTGAACTTTAAACTGACTTTGTGGGTCCCATGGGAGCTGTTTGCACAGTCTCGCAAAAACGCGAATATCTCTCTAGTCCGATGTCATATTGACAAACGGTTTAATGCATTAGAAACTAGACTCGTAGGTCTTCAATTTGATATGTATATCATCCCTTGATTCCAAGTATATTGGGAGAAAAGTGCAGCTACATTTGAGCTAAATTTCAGCACATTATGAATGCAACTTGTGATGACCTTTGCCAACTTTTGTTCCACAACTCGCTTGACTTAAAAACATAACACACGACTATCATAAAACTAAAATGACTCATAACTTAATCTCCAAATCATGTTGATCACCCTAGTCTCCCCCAAAAGTATATGTTATAACATTTCAAACTTGTCGACTTTCGACGAAACTTATTTTCTTCAATTCGTTTAGCATCTAAGCTTTTCAACCCTTTTGGTACTTGTTATTCATGATCTTAAAGATTTGTAATCTCCAATATAACATGATGAACTTACGTTATGTACTTTCAAAAATGATCTCATTTTCGAGCTTACATCAATTGGCTTACGACGTACTCTCACGTACGAAAACATGGGATGTAACAAGTTATTATCTTATTAGTTTTGCTTCATCTTTCAGTTATTTTGTTGCCTTACAACTTGGTACATTATTTCGTACTGACGTCCCTTTTTGCAGGGAATGTTGCATTTCATGCCTGCAGGTCCTGATTGACAGTTTGACAAACCCTCCCAACAGACAGAGTAAAACATCAGCTTGGTTTGTAAACTCCACTTCCTCGTAGTTACCAGGTCTAGACCTTGGAGTCCATTTTATATATACAGGTTTGATGGGTAGGTCGAAGCCTTATCCTGACCATGGTACAGTTCACTTATCTCTAGAGGCTTGTAAACGAGTCCTGTATATTTTTTATATTAGTAGATGTTCATGGCGGCTTCGTCGGCCTGCACAGTTATACATATCAGCTTTTGGGTATGTTTACCCCACAGATGAGAGAGGCATTAATTTCAAACGATTCGGAATATGGCCTCATCAGCCTAAGCTGAGGGTTACCCCTCTAGAGTTTACAGTTACAATGTGGTCTGCTCGGGTCGAGTATGGCACCGGGTGCCGGCATGCCTCTTTAGGCTTGAGGTGTGACAAACTTGGCATCAGAGCAGTTTTGTCCTAGGGAGTCTACAAG